GCTCACCCGGGTTCAACCATATATTATTTTCATTTTTTTTATCTAAATGATAAAGAGGACAGAATAATCTTAACCCCACTATTATATGTTGTCCCATGGCTTGTACTTTATCTTATTACTTTTTAATTAGAATTAAAATTTTATTCTAATAACTCATCTTATAAACCATAATCAAACCAAATAAACTAATTAACACAAAATTATTTTGGTTTGATTTGCTTTTTAATCGTTTGTACTTTTTTAATATTGACTTTTTTATTTATAAACACAATGCATGTAATATTTTAAAGTTGATGAGTAATTAATGATTAATTTGTACTTATGAGATATGATTTTTATTAACCAATCAAAATCAAATGAATCTTTCATACATGAGGACAGTCTTTTAGCCACTGTGTCAAGAAATTTATTTACTTTTAATATGTGATTACTTTAAAATACTTGTGTTCTCTTTTAAAAAAAAATCTTAAAGAGTTGTGTTAAAGACAATTAAAGAATATAATTATTAAAATAACTGTCTAATATTTTAATTATAAAATATTTAAAACGAGTAAGAAACTGCATCTGATTTTGCCACTAAATTATTTTATATTTTATGGTGATTAGGAGTAATATTACGACATCAAACTAGCAGTACAGTAGGTGTCTACTACTCTAATTTTATTGCGTAGCATATACACGTAGTCATGTACAGTAATTGCTGTGCTTCAACTTCATAGCCTACAACTTTTTACCATTGAAAATGGAGAAGGAAATTGAGGTGGAGATGAAGAGCAATTCAGTTCTTAATTAACTGTAAAAAAGACTGAATTAGTAGGCTACGGCGCCATTAAGAGAAAGGTCCCTACTTATCCCTGCTCCCCTCCTATAAATAGAGTACACATTCCCACTAATTTTCCCATCCTTCGTTACCAAACATATCTCGTTTGAGTACATCTGTTGTACGTTGTAGTTTTACTACTGAAAGATGGGTTCCAAAATGGAAATACTGATCCTAGGCCTGCTGGCCATGCTCCTTTTCATCTCCTCACAGGTGGCAGCTAGGGATTTGAAAGAGGGTGAGCTATAAATCATTTTGCCTTATATTCTCTTATTTTGAAGTAACAGAATATTAATAAAGGCTTTTAAAACACTAGCTAGTTTTAAAAAAAAAATCTATAAAAATATATTGCTAATTAATATATTTAAGTTCATGTAAATATATCATTTTTTTTCTTCTATTTTTGTCCTTGTAATATGTTTTTTATTCCCTATTAATTTTTCTTTTCTTTTTATGTAAACTAATTCAAAATGAATAAAATATTATACACAAAAAAATATCTCATGAATTAAAAAAAAATAGCAAATACTAAAGCATTCAACGTTAAAACTTAAACACATGAGGAGAATCCAACTCAAAAGACTAGTTTACATTGAATTTGGTATTTTACTCAATGTAAAACTCTTAAAATTGTCATCAATTTTAAAAGTTATTGTTCATAAAGACTCACTCTATCGATATTGATTTAATGGTAATCCTTTTTTCTTTAAAAGTTTCATTCATTTATTAGTATTTGATTTATATCTTAATCCAATATATAGATAGTTCCTTTCATATCCCAACTCTTAATGAAAATACTAATTAATTATTAGAACTTAAGCGAAGAGTTTAATCTAAAAGACTAGTTCATTAAGTAGGGGATTTTCAAAGTTTAAGTATCATATTGAATTTCGTATTTTATTTAATGTGAGACTCCTAATATTTGAAATTTTTTTTTTGAGAGATGAAGAATTAAAAAAAATGTAATTACACACATTAACAAGATATTTAAGCAATTTTTTAAACCGAACCTTTATTAATATTGTATTTAAAGGATGTTTGCGATACAAGGAGTTTCTGATTCAATCATAATGACACCCCTTCCAACATTTTGTGTCTTTTTCCAATTTATTACTTCCTGCATTTTTTATTCATAGTTGTTTTGTCAGAATTTATCCTTTTTTTCATTGTTATTTTACTAAAATCAATGATTTATTAATTTTTTTATTCTAATTTTTATAATTGATAATTAATGTATGTTTACTGAATAATGTGCCTATTTATTTCTAATGTCTACCTATTTTTTCTCCAACTACCTATGTAAAGTAGAGCTGTCAAAATGGGCTCAGCCCGGTGAGCCAACCCGGCCCACCACGGGTTCGAGCCGGGTTGGGCTAAAAAATTTTTGCAAATTTCAGTGTGGGCCAATTTTAAACCCGGCCCACTAACAACCCGGCTCACCCGGGTTCAACCCGTGGTGAGCCGCGCTGACCCACCAGCCCATAAAAAAAAAAAAAACTTCTGCTATTGGGTTGGGCCAAATAAAACTTCATAGACCATCATAGGTTCTCAATTTTATGTATTTTTTCTTCAAATTATGTAATTAGTGTAGGAATTTATTTACTTTTCTCTAGAAAAGCTTATGTGCATACTATTTTTGCAGGATTAGGCATTAAATTTGATTACATTTTTTTAAATTAGGTGATTTTTTCAAATTAGGTGAGCCAACCCGTTTAGCCCACCAACCCGTGGTGGGCCGGGCCGGGCTCAATTTTTTCCAGCTCACCAATAAACGAGCCAGGTTGGGTTGGCCCACCAAAGGCTCAACCCATAGTGGGCCGGGCCGGGTTACCCGTTTTGACAGCTCTAATGTAAAGTTAATGTTACATTTGAATGGGTAATATGTTTCAAACGAAATACTATAAAAAAAATAGAGAGTAGAATAGAAAAGTAAGTAATAAATATTTTTGAAAATTAAAATATCAATCATTTCTTTAAGTTCCGTGCAAAACCTTAAACGACTATGAATAAAAAACGGAGGGACTATCATTTAACATTATCGTACTCAAATTTTATGCTCACTTTATATCTTTTCCATTTCTTTTATTTTTTCATCTTTCTCATCAATCACATTTATGATCTTGTTTCTCTTCAACGCGCGCCTTGATCCTAATCGCCCCCACGTAAATGGTTAATGATGTGTGGCAATTGCATGCAGGTGATGTTGTTAGAGCGACAAATCAAGTGGGTGGTGGTGGTGGTTACTTCGGTGTTGGGCCTGGTGGTGTCTTCCCTAGGCCTCCTATTGTCTTTCCTAGGCCTCCTGGTGGCTTCTACCGTCCGATTGGCTTCCCTCCTTTTGGATTCTACCCTCCTGGTTCTGGCTTCTACCCTCCTGGTTCTGGCTTCTACCCTCCTTATGGCTTTTACTACCCTCCTCGTATCTTCCCAGGTCAAGGGTAATGGTTGTTGTCATGCACTGAGAACTTGCTCAAGCTGCCACAATCTTCTCAGCATAAGACTCACAAGTTAGATATAATGTGTAGTTAATTCTACGTGTTTCATGAATAAAATCTCGTGTGTTGGAGTAGACAGCAATCACCTCCATACCACTAGATATATATATTTCACAACTACGTACAAATAATGCTCAATAATAAGTTGTTGTGTCTGTGTGATTAGTTTAAGAGCAAACTCAAATATCAGTATGTACAAATAGTTTGTCATAATTAAATCCCGGTTTTATTACTTGTACTGTTACTATATATCATCACCATTAATATTATGTCCTCTCTGTTGTTAATTATCATGTCTTTGTAGATATTTCTTACAACCATATCTACTATTGAGTAAGCAGAGAATTTTTCAAGCTGAATGAAGTTAATTTAATTGAACAATGTCAATGCTGCATTAATTTCCCCTAATTAAAAATGTCTAATAAACTATGAGTAATATAACAACTACATCTACAGGTACAACTCAATCCTAAGAGTCATTTTAGCCCGACGATGCTAAGAAAAAAAATAATCACCAATGAATCACCTAAAGTCTGAGTCTCTATTGCCATAATGATGAAGCAACTTGAATCCCCCTGGTGTTTCCCGTTTCATAACCGTCACTTCGGGAAGTAAAAGTTGTGCCGGTTGATGACTTTGTTGTGGTGGAAGAAAGTAATCAATATTTGTGGTTCTGGTTTTGTTATTCAATAAACTTAAATCCTTATAAATGTCATTTGACGATAGGACCTTGACAAACGGAAAAACTCAACCACAATTTTGTCCAAAAGGGAAAAAAATATCATCCTAATGATTTAGATATGATATACAAAGAAGATAGAGGATCATGCCAACCTAGAAATCAACATGATCCCAAAAAGAAACAGTGAAATTTGTCCCTATTGATTTATTGAGTTTGCAACTAGTTGGAGTATGAGTTGACAATGAGTTTGATGGAAATTTGGTAACTAATTGAAGTATGAGTTGACAATAAATTGTTTGATGGAAATTCGGGCAACTGTTTTTATGGAAATTCTGACAATGAGTTTCATTCAATAATTTTAAAATGACACTACATAAAAAACAATTACAACATACTTTCTAAAATACTTATAAGAGAAATGCAAGTGACTCATTATTTTTAATTGATTAAAATTTATTAAAAAAAATTAGTGAATTTCACATCTTATTTAATTTAATAATTCTCTCTACTAATTTTTAGCTTTTAATAAATTATAATCAATAACAAAGTGTATTAAAAATAGTGTGTTAAAAAGTACATTGTTATCACTTTTTTTTTTATTAAATATGTTAAAATTTTGTAATTTTAACATATATGTCTTTATTAGTCTTTGCATCCGTGTTATGCATGAAACTTTTGTTGATGTATGTTTAACAATCGGTTAATATTTGCATGTCAAAAACATTTCTGAGCTTTTGTACGTTGATGTATATTTAGAAATTGGTCAATATTTGCAGGTTAAAAACGATTATGATTTGATGAACTGATCGAACCAGTCATAGGTCCGATTTTTAGTTAAATTAGACGGTCTGATTTGAATTTGATAACACTGCAATATTGTATTATTGTAAAAAAATATAAATTAAACAAGAAATAATATCAATAACAATCATGATGAAAAACTAAATATGTTGTTTCACGTTCTTGCAAAAATGAAAACATAGGTAGTAAAATATAATTGACATGTAAAAAAAATGTCATATAAAAAATAAAGTAGAAAACATAAGGATATAACATAATCAATTTAAATTTCTAATTTTTTTTTATAAAATACAATTGAACTAGTGTTCAAAATTAACATTAGTTTTTTAAGAATATGGTAGTTAGTTGTTTTGTAAAATGTTTGTAGAATGACAGGTATCATGTGCCATCAATATATGGTAGATTTCAAGTTATGTAAAATATTGGCAGATATCATATTCTGTAAATTGGTGTGTTTGGATGGGTAATTTAAATGAAGTAATTCATTTGTTTGAAGAATTTCAAATTCTTTGAGGTGAAATACTTTGTTTGGATGGAGAATTTACAAAGAATTTGAAATTCAAGCATTTGTGAAATTCTTTAAAATAGTAGAATTTCAAATTCTCCCAAAAAAGTAAGAATTTGAAATTCCTCATATTTTTTTTCTCCTTATTTCACTTATATATTTTATCTTATCTCTTCATATTTTTAATTATTGAATATTCAAAAATACTTTAAAAATTATTAAATATGATCTAATATTAATTTTTAAATTATTAAATATTTAAAAATTGGCTAATATTTATTTTTATAAAATTTTATTTAAAAATATCAACATATAAATATATATTTAAAATTAATTTTACCATGGTAGAATCAAATTATCATATTCAAATTAATAATTTAAAATTTTAAAAATATTGAATTGACTTATCCAAACAAAATATTTTAAGAATGATAATAATTGAAATCAAAGTAATTTAAATACCAAGAATTTTAAATTCTTTGAATTTGTAAAATTCCTCATCCAAACACACCACGAAGGAATTTGGATATCTTGTATATGAGCTGAGAAATCCTTGTACCTCTATATATATATATATATATTAGTTTCTTTCATTGACTAATAAAAAAAGAGGGAAGGAGTGTAAGGTGGAGGCCGTGCTGGTGAATGGGAAAGAAGAAGAGTTTTTAAAACGGAAAAGAATTGAAGTGCTAAAGTGCAATATGGATACTATACTAATTTTGGATGCTATAATTATGCGACTGGAATTAGTGATTATCATGAAAATTTTTAGATTTAATTGGTTGGTATTTACGGTAATATTACATCTTTGAAGACAGCAGTAATGTTTTTTTTTATTATTATTTTTTATCTCAATACATTATTGATATAGATTATATCTGTGAATTTTATGCAAAAATTGTAGTTAAATCTATTTGTCAGTAAATTGTTAAAGATGTGATACGTAAAAAATTTATTAAGTGAAGTTGACTCTATTTTAAGTTAGTATGAAAAGATTCTAATTAGAAATTTGAATTGTACCGTTAGTTTATTCATAAGTAAATCAATCGAGTTGCTCATATTTTAATTAGAAAATGAATATTTTATGTTATTCCACATACTCATGAATTTATACCTTTTATATTAAATCTATTGTTATGAATGAAAATATATGATTTACTTAGATAAAAAAAAAAGAAAAAAAATATTTTGACATCCATAAACTAGCAATCTTTCTTTTGGACATCCATTTTTTTTCTTCTCTTTCTCAATTGTAAGCTTAAATAGATATTTAATTGTAAGCTTAAATTGATATTTTAATGTTGAATAGTATCATTTTATATTCTTGTCAATGTTATTGGATGTCCGATTATTAAAAGCTGTTCAAATTTCAAGATTCTTTAAAAAAAAAAAAAAAAAGAAGATGAAGAAGAGAAGACGTCGTTAGTTTAGGAATTTTTTTTAGAAGGTGGTGTGAAGAGTAAATAAGGGAAGTGCAGATAGCATGCCGTCTAGGTTAGTTAAAATACTCTATAGCCCAAATATTATATCATGAAGACTAATGATATGTACAACTCTTTTTTTTTTTTTTTTTTTTTTTTTTTAAGTACACTTCCATTATTTTTATATAAAAAAATCTAAAATATTCATAACTTTTTTTATTTTTAAAATTTTTAATTTTACATCTTTAACTTTCAATTTACAATTTTCTTTTCACACACCTCTTTCTTTCTCTTTTTTAACTTTTACATGCATCATCTTATCTTCTTCTAATTCATCACTTATTTCAGTGGGTAATTTTAGTTCTCTCGATTTTTTTATTAGTCTCTTATTTTCTCACTTCTTTCATTTTTTAACATGCACCCAAATCATAGAACTGGTAGGCGACAACATTATAGATATGTGTAATTTCCTCGACAATTTCTATTAAACAAAAAATACATTTTTATTCCAACGCTTCCTTTCCTTTCACCCTTCCATAAACCTTAACATTAAATTTAGTGTTATGAAAAAAGACATTTTTACTATTCCAGAGTACTATGCAGATAGTGAAATCAATGAGAAAACTAAAAGAGGAAAGGAAAATAAATAATGTAAAACTAATTAAAAGAATTAAAATTACTTGGTGAGAGTGAAGAAAAATTAAGGAAATGCATGTGAAAATAAGGAAAAGAGATGTGTAAAAAAAAGTGTTAAATTAAATATTAGGAGTATAAAATTTAAAAATTTAAAATAATAAAAATTACAGATATTTTAAGAATTCAATTATTTATTTTTTAAAAAAAGGGGGTGTAGTTATAAAAAAAAGGAGATGTATATATCATGATCCTATTGATGAACCAAAGTTCCACCAGTTCATTATTTTCTTTCCCTTTTGTAGGGTTAACCGCAAGCCTAGCTAGCGCTAGCCCAAAGGCATATGGGTGTTGTTAGGTGGAATCTAAGGATTACTAAGTGAAATGCAAACCTTTTTCCTCCGAGAAGACTACGACTTTTTTGTCTATTGCAAAGGGAGTGTTCCATTTTATTTTCTTGCTTCTGTACATGCAATTGAAGCTCTTTTCTCCAAGCAACCTAGTTAAAAAGAAACTTTCTAATTCAAATCCAATTCTTAACCCCTTTTTGTTACATATCTTACCAATCCAATTTCTTTATAAGATTCATTAACCCAATCTCTTAAATTTACCATTTATTAATATTAATTATATATATTTTTAGTTCATTCATCATTAATTTATAGTATCCAATTTGTTCTTAGCAAGTATAGCTTTTCATGTATGTATAAAAAAGGTATAGTTCTTCAAATGTTAGACATTAAATTTTCCTCCTGTAAAAAAAATGATAGACATTAAATTTTCCCCGCTTACGCGTAGTACACGTATTAGAAAGTTTTGTAATATAATTAAATTAGTATTTCCATCACGTTTAATTGCTTGATTAAATCTTAATTAAATATTTACGAGAAAAGCTAACAATACTTACTCTATCATTTTTTTTATTATTGACTGAAATTTATTAAAAATTAATAGCAAATATTATTTATATTGACATTAAAAAAAGTGTGTTTATGTATAAATTTATTTGATATACATAATTATAAATAATTTAGTGTTAATTTTGAATGAGATTTAATAATATATAATTATACATTACTTATATTTATATATTTTAATAATATATTAATATATATTTATAATATAAATAAAAATAATTTTTAATAATAAATATTGTGTTATTATGAGATGTGTGAATTATATTAAGAGGGCATATATTTAGAGCTAATTTAGGGTGTGCTTAGCACCTTTAAATGAGTCTTTTAATATTTTAAAAGGGTTGACTAATCATTTTGAGAGACAAAAAACTTTCATGAGGACTCTGGAACTCAAGGATTGAAGCTTTAAAGTCTGGTTTTTCTTCATTTTCTATTTTCTAGTTCATGATTGTACATATCAAATTAGATCAAACTAAAATGAACATGTGTGAGTAAGTCTATTCTTTTTGGATTTTAATGACGAAATACAATAATAACATGATGATTCAAACTTTTATTTCAAATTTTTGTACGACTAAATAATTCCTAATAGTTCATTTAGATTTTGAGGTAATTATCATCTTTTTTCATGAAAACACCCTCTTTCATGTCTATGCTCATATTTTATAATTGGTGCTCTATTTTGCAATTACTTCTTTTTATGAATTGATCAATCATGAGATGAATTAAGAATTTCTTGATGATTGGAGAAACTTTTGAAATTCTGGACTTGAAATTTTGCACCTAATGAACCTATTTTTAGGAATGAATTTAGGTTTATTAAAACTTTGTAATTCTTTTTCGTAATGCAAATTTTATAGTTCTTTCTCCTAAGGAATTAGAGAATAATTAAAGAATTTAGGCTTTTCTCTTAAGGATTAGGATTAAAGTAATTAAGATTTTTTAAATCATTTGATTTTGAGCTGGGTTAAATAAGTTGTTTATGTGAAATTGTGTTTTGGTGAAGTCAAAACCCCAATAGGTTTTTATTAAGTATTTGAAACTAATTTCGGTAGATAAGGTATTCACAAAAGATTAAATGAACTATAGATGAAGAAAAAAGTTTGGTTAACATTTACATGGTTATTTCTCTTACAAATTATTTAAATTTACGCTGTATATTGTTAGATTATTTAAATAATTATAGTTAATATTATTTTTTAAAAAATTTAGATATTAGATGTTAAAATATTAGAATATATTATTGTTGTTAGTCTTAATTTTGTGATCATTATATTAATATTTATTGAGATTAATATTAATATTATTATTATTATTATTATAAAATAATGATTGATAATGTGTTGCTGTGATGAGTTTGGACTTATTAAGAAGGGTAAGTGAACTCATATTGATTTAACAGGAAAAGACCTCTTATTTCTTATCATTTCGTAGTGTAGTTGTATCATTAAGTCTACATAGCATAAAAAAAGACACACACACATAGAAAACTGAATGGATCAAATGTCTTTTATTTATCCAAGTATTTCTAACCTTATTATTTGTTGTTTTATTTATGTTATAATTAGAAATTAAAATACGTACAAATATATGAATTGTTTATTAATTATTAATGTATAACTCATATTGCTTCTCTATTTTTCAATCAACATTGAAAGCTATTTATTTTATAATTGATGGTATAATAAAATATAGTTAAAGTCATGCATGTGTATGTAAATATACACATGTATGTATGTATATTTGTATATATAATTTTTTTATAGAGATTGATGAATTTAGTTTTTCTCTTCATATATCTAGTTACATAATTATATAACACTTTGTTCTCGTTTTACTCGTCTCTATTTTTTGAATGCTTTAAATTGATATTGTGTTATTGAAATTTTGTTTTGATATAGTGTTCTATGAATTCCATTTTATAAATATCAATTACTTTCTTTATTGAACCTACATTGGATAAAAGGCCAAGCTTGAATCATTTTCACATTTGGTGTTGTAAGCGAAAGTGAGACTTTATAATCTACAATTGAACAAGGTTAATATCAAAATAGTTAATGCTTTTCTCATAAGTTATTGCATTGACTTAAGAGGATCCATATTTTATCGTCATACTCACTCTACAAAAGTGAGTGAATCTAATAGAGCAATATTATTTGAGAATCAATTGGAGCATGGTGAAAGTTTTAGGTCGTGAATCGTTGAATTTAAAGATGAAAGTGTTTTTGTTCCTATACCTCTTGTTCCTTTATTAGAGGAAGAGTTGCCTATTTTTTTCCTTATAATAAAGTTATTGATTCTATCAATAATGTTAAAATCCCTTAACAACAAGTTATTGATAGTGAGCATAATCAAGTTGAAGATTTAAGCTTCCATCTAAAAGGTTAAGAAAGCTTTGTAAGTCCATTGGACTCACTAAATTTTTGGAGACTATTTGATTTAGAAAAAAAGTTTGGTTAATATTTACATGATATTATTTAAATTTACACTATATACGAATTTTGATTAGTTAGATATTATAAGCATATTAGCAAGTAAATATTGAGTCAAGTCATTATGGAACAATATCATTCATCATCAAGCATTGAGTCAAGTCTTTGTGGAATGATATCATTAATCATTCATTACTTGTATGATTTAGTAAACTTGTAAAAGATATATTACTTTTCTTGTACACATTTTTTTTTTATTGAATCCTTTTTACTCTAACCAACCTCACTAGATACTTGAATAAAGACTTCTAATATATTTTAATTACTTAAAAAAATTAAAAGCTTTATATACTCTTTCTTAGAATAGCGGATTAAACCTAACTCAACCCTACAAAACCAGTTTGTAAGGTGAGGGTTGCTTTCCACTTATATACTATTTAATTGCCTAATCTCTAGTCGATGTGGAACTTGAGTTTTTCTCAATACACCTCCTCAGTCCTCACGTCCAATACTATTGGGCTTGGTAAGTGGATAAATGGTAGGTAGCCCTTTTTAATGATCTAGGATTGGCGGGACTTGAGTTTTTCTCAATATACACCCCCTCATGCCCATGACACATATATTAATGGTGGGTGGTCCATTTAAAGTGGATCTAAATGGCTCTGATACTATCTTAGAATAACGAATTAAGCTTAACTCAACCTTACAAAATCGGCTTGTAAGATAAGGGTTGATTTTCACTTATATACTATTTAATTGCCTAATTTCTAGTCGATGTGAGACTTGAGTTTTTCCCGATACTCTTGATATAGGTCATGAAGTTACCATTAGGGCTTCAAACCAACTTTAGAGTATCAAACCAAAGACAGATGCAATGTGGATGCTTACAGTGATTTAGTGTTGACGCGTGAAATTTTAAATTTAATCAGAAAACAAATTAACCAAAACATAAAATTTTAAATTTAATCAGAAAACAAATTAACCAAAACAAAAATATTAGGGTTTTTAAATTGTTAAATTGGGAGGGGCCGCTGTACTTTCACCTATATGGGTTCCAAACAACCCATTCTGGTTTGTAGCTTTCTCAATTTGTTCCTAACCTTTGGCACACCTCAAGCTAGGTTGGTTAGAATAATTAATAAATTCATTTGACTTATAAAGACAAAAGGGAAAATACTTATGAAAATGTATCTAACTTATTTTGACCTTTAAAATATTTTATAATTTATATATAGTAAATAAAAATAATATTATGATATAAAACTAATAGTAGCTCTCTACTTATCAACTTTTCATTACATAACATATACACGCAGTCACGTAATAATTGCTATGCTTCAATTTCATAGCCTGCCACTTTTTACCATTGGAGAAGGAAATTGAGGTGGAGATCAAGAACAAATCGGTTCTTAAACTCTATATGAAAAACTTAATTAATACGTTACGGCGACAATTAAGAGAAAGTTCCTAACTTCTCCCTCCTCCCCTCCTATATATAGAGTATACATTTTCACTAGTTTTCTCATCCTTCATCACCAAGTAACATATCATTTGAGTAGACCTGTAGTTTGCTAGAGAAAATTAAGATGGGCTCGAAGACGAAGATACCGATACTTGTCCCTGGCCTGTTGTTGGCCATGCTCCTTTTGATCTCCTCACAGGTGGCAGCCAGGGATATGAAAGAGGGTGAGCTATATATCATTTTGCATGCCTAGCTAATATTCTCATCATCAGTTTTTTAAACTACGAGAATTTTAATAAATGTATCTAAAATACTAGTTGGAAAGATATTACAAATACTTTTTTTTTAGTTATAAACGTTTTATAAGTTATTATTGGCTTTTATATGTTTTTAGTATCTATAATTATGCACCTTTTGTTTTATCGTCCCAACACTATTTTTCGAAATGGTATTTTTTATTTTTATTTTTCTGTTTTGATACCTAAAATAATTTAATTTTAATTTTCATCAAAATAAATTAACAGAATTTAATTTAAAATAAAGCAAATATCAAAGAGATTACAATAAAACAGATATATTCCAAAAATAAAAGGAATAAAAAAAATTATAAGAACCATTTTGAAAATATAATATAAAAACAAAAAATGAATAAAAAAAGTGCAATTAATCATAAGATATAACATCAAATTTTTTTATTCATAAGAACTATTAAAAAAAGTTTACAACACTCAATACATCCTACTTAACCAACTGAGTTAGATATTTTAAATATAACAATGTTTTTACTCTTTCATTTAGTTATTTTTAATTAATATCCTTAAAGCATTCCTTAATCGAAACATTAGATTAATTAAAGGATGTTTACGATTCAAGGGGTTTCTTAATCCTATACATTCGATCATAATTTAATTTAATCCGTTCTCACATTTTGTATACATCTTTATATTTTCTTCTATCTCTATTTTTATCTCGGAAGTCTGACCTCATCGTCATTGGTCAATCACATGTATTATTTCCTTTGTCTTCCCACCTAAAAGAGGTGTGCAAGACAAGATTAATTTTTGCATCGTAAATGTGTGTTGCAGGTGAGGTTGTTAAAGAGAGAAATAAAGTGGGTGATTCGAAAGTGGAAGTTGGTGGTGGGGTTTACTTTGGTGGTAACATCCCTGGCATTGGTGGTATCCCAGGCGTTAGTGGTGGTAACATCCCTGGCATTGGTGGTATCCCAGGGATTAATGGTGGTATTCCAAGTGTTAATGGCGGTATTCCAGGAGTTAATGGTGGTATTCCAGGCATTAATGGTGGTATTCCAGGTGTTAATGGCGGTATTCCAGGATTTAATGGTGGTATTCCAGGTGTTAATGGCGGTAATGTTCCAGGTGTTAATGGCGGTATTCCAGGAGTTAATGGGGGTATTCCAGGCATTAATGGTGGTATTCCAGGTGTTAGTGGCGGTATTCCAGGAGTTAATGGTGGTATTCCAGGCATTAATGGTGGTATTCCAGGTGTTAATGGCGGTATTCCTGGAGTTAATGGTGGTATCCCAGGCATTAATGGTGGTATTCCAGGCGTTAATGGTAACATCCCAAGTGGCGTTATTGGTTGCATCCCAGCTAGTGTTATTAGTGGCATCCCAGGCATGATTGGTTGCATCCCAGGCATCATTCCAGGCCTTCCTGGTAATGGTGGTTTTGGAGCATTCCTGGTGGACGTGGAGGTTTTGGTGGTGGCATTCCAGGCCAAGGACTAGGAAGAGAGTATTGTCGTTCTGGCTGTTGTGTTTGGGCATTAGGGGGAGCTTGCTTACGTTGCTGCACCACTAGAGCATAAGACTAAGACCCACAAATTAGAGTGTTGTTCTACGTACTTCAAATATTTCATCAATAAAATTTCCTCTTGTGGATACACAATGTTGTTCGACCTTTCACACCACTAGAGATATTTCATAAGTGGAAATAGTGTTAAGTAATATATACGTCGTACTGCATGTGCCTGTGTCATAAGTTTAAGGACTAACTGAAATGTCTAATGTACAAATAGTTTGTCATAAATGATGACTTGAACTTCTACCTCATCGTCATATCATCCTCTTTGCTGTTAATTAAGTTTCTCCTTCTATAATTATCGTGTCATTATAGGTGATGCTTATACATATCTATTAATTCAAAAAGTAGAGAACTTCAATTCTGTGGTATTCTCTAGTACATGGGCAACAAATAAGTCCTTGTGCAAACTGCTCGACTAGAAAAATTTAGATAAAGTTACTAAACTAACCAAATCAATTAGGTAATGTCACTATAATAATTTAAGGGTTTTAAATTAACCAAATTTTTCTAAGAAGCATTTTAACTAACGGTTCATGTGCACCTATTAAAACTTACTAAATATCACTTTGCAAACTAACCGGAAAGAAAATTTGAAAACAAACCATAATGTATGAACCATTAACCGGAAAATTTAACTTTATTTATAAAAGTAAAAAAGGTAATTCTTATAATAGTATTTATTTATTTCTTTTTCAAACTAAATTCTCACTAGAGTGTTCGAGATGTAGTTTAGTAGTTCAATTTTTTATTTAAAAATCATTTAAACTAAACAAGAAAATTAAATGCAATTTGGTTGAATATACTATGAATTCTGAATCAAAACAAACTAATTTTTTAAAGTTTTATTTGCTTTGACTCAATTTTTTCAATTTTAAAAATTATTTATGAATTAACTAAAAATATATAATATTATGTTAATTGCTCATGATTCGTAATCAAAAATAAAATAAAAATTACACAAATACTAAAAAAATTGTTTTAATACATATTTAACATCAAACCTCATCTTATTATTTTAGTAGAAACATTTATTTAATACAAATTTTAGTTATCATTATATATATTTATATAGTTTGTTACTTAAAAATAAAAATTATTTTCAAATATCGTAAATGATTCATAATTTTTTATTTTAAAAATCAATTTAGTAACTAACAATTTTATAAGATATTTTTTAAAATTTAATATATTATTATAAAAAATACATTTAGGAGAAAATAACATCTTTTCTTACACATTTAGGAGAAATTAATATCTTTTCTTAGCTTACAATTTAGTATCTTATACAGTTTTATAAAAACACTTTTTATATTATGTGTAACTGCTTATACCATACATTGAGGGAAAAAAACCTTATTTACGTATAAGTATGATTCAATTTTCTTTGGATTGATTTCATATTCTCAAATTATAAACTGAGTCGAATTATGTGATTTTTTTTTTGAACAGCAAAAAATTATATATTGATGAGGTATAAGAAATATCTTTAAATCTTTTACATAAATAACATAATATGCTGAATCATTGTTAGCCATAATATACTTTGTGAAAGAAGCATATTATTTGCTAAACATGTACTCAACCCCAGAATTATGTCATTTAAGAAAATATAAAATCGAACCAAACCACTAGTTTAGTATTTTCTATAGATTTGCAATTTTTTTTATTAGTTTTCAGTTTTGTATTTGAGCTAATTCGATTTTGAACACTTCTAATAATCACTCAAAAAGTTGATTTCTAATTAATTTTTCTTATCAAACAACTATTGTTTTTACTTTATTTTTATTTATTTCTCTTCTCTTCACATCTTTCTTATCTACTTTCTTTTTTCCTTTTATTTTTTTTTTCTATCGAACACAAATATTTTAACTTCAAAATTTTAAAAATAGGAATATATAAATATATAATTAGTGTTGTTCTTACCGGGGATCCGAGGTAGAGGTGATTTGCTGGGTAAGATCGGTGAGCCTCCTTCGCTGGTAAGTTTGATGTTCCAAGATGGGGGTGGTACCTACAAAAGAGACTCCGATGCCAAAGTTAGGGTTTGTGGGAGTATTAGTCTCGTATAAATAATGCACGTACCTTAGTATGAATTAGAGTTTTACTAGGCTTTGGGCCTGAGATCAGTCATGACCTGTTTGGGTGACGAGCTGACGTCATACAGTGCGTGTCTGAGGTCGCTTTGCGCTGAGATGCCGAGTTCGAGCTCGGCATAGCGGTACGGACAGTACACTAGCCCCCCGAGCTCTGAAGACCGTGGGTCGAGGAGTTAAGACCGAGCTTGTCAAAGAGCAGTGACCCTTCGCGTACGCCCGCCTGTGAAGACGCCATGTGTCATAACTGTCGCTTCGTTCTCGAAAACGTGTGGGCGGCATGTTAATGAGGAGGACGGTTATGCAATGATGGTTTCGCCTCATCATAATGAGTTTCATTAAATGTGTCATCAGGTGCTCTCCCTCTCCAACACGTGTCGTGGCCGTTTGAAATTCGGGGAGCCCTTTTCTCTCTCTCTCACGCCTCTTCCCTTTTTCACTTTACTCTTTTTTGTTCTTTCAGCTTCTTGCGTACGCCGGTTTCGTTCTCCTTTGTCGCCATTTCCGGCAACTGAGTTCTCCTCCTTCCTTATTGTTCTTTCATTTGTCAAAGGAGTACCAGGTACTTCGATTTCCCTGTTCTTTCTTTCTTCTCCAATCTTTCCCTCTTCGAGTCTTTTTGTTTTCTTGATGGCTGGAGAGAGTGGTGTCGGATCTTTCGTGCCTGCCAAGGGCAGGGGTAGGGCGCGCGGAAAGGCGGTGGCTACCGGAACGGCCGCCACCGAAAAGAAGAAGGCAGAGAACCCACCCAAGGATCTCGTCCCCGACGTTCCGGGCTACGACTGGGTCAGGCGCGACATGGGGGAGTTCCAGAGTGTATTCAGGTCGTTCATGGAGATCAATGCGATTAGAAAAACGCATAGGATTTGTGACTCTTCCGTCTCTAAGTTTGTCCGGCTCGAGCCTTGTCAGCCCGATGAGCGTGTGTATATGGGGAGTTCTTCTGACCCTCCCCATTTCTATGTATATCAGTGTCTTTTTAGGGATTTAGGTGTCTGTCTTCCTTTCACTCAATTTGAGTGTGACTTTTTGAATTTCATCAACTCGGCTCCTTGCTAGTTACACCCCAATAGCTGGGGTTTTTTGAGGGCTTTCCAAGTCATGTGTTCGGCCTTGGGGATAGAGGTGTCTCTGCCCGTTTTTCTTCATTTTACCAGTTAAAAATGGGCGTTCCTCCCTATGGTTTAATGTCTCTGAGTGGAAGTAAGGATGGGGGTCTGTTTTCCCTTTACTCCCAGTCATATAAAAATTTCAAACAAGAATTTTTCTAGGTGGCGCTTGTAGACGTCGACCCGTTAGAGGATGGGGCATTCTATTTCGGTGGGTTGCTGAAGTTCCCCTTCTACTGGCGGCCGGTCCCGACAAGGTTTCACGGAGTGGGGGAGTTACAATTGACGGCTTTAGAGTCGACCGCCATTAAAAACCTTGAAGCATTTCCTCGCCCGTTGGATTGCAAGCTCGTCATGTCGCTTGCGAACTCGATGTACAAGGAGAGGGGCTTAGAGAGTGAGTACCCTGTCTTTCTTAGATTGTTAGGGTTTGTGAAAGCTTATTTTGCTGATGTGTCTGTTCTTTGTGTTCGCAGGCATAATGGGCAGGAACAAATGACGTGAGTTGAAGCACCGCTAAAACATCGCCGAGATCGAGGTTCCAGAGCCCCAAGAGGAGGAGGTTTCCCTCCTGAAGACGAACAGGAAAAGGAAGAGGGGGGGGGAAGGAGCGAGGTCGCACTCGCGTATTGTATCTTCTGGAAGCTCGGAGCTTGCAGGCTTCTTCGTGGATTTGAGCTTCGTCTCTAAGCTCGTCAACTAAGTCGAGGTCAACTGCTAACTCTTGAGCGTTCTGCTCACTGTTGAAGACTTGGCGTCGGTGAGATGTCTCTCTGATTTTCACTAGAATCATGGCGTCAGCTCCGTAAGTCAGCCTGTAAGGCGTTTCTTACGTTGTTGACTGGGGGGGTGCAATGATACGCCCAGAGGATGCTGGGAAGCTCGTCGGCCCACTGTCTTTTAGCGTTTCCTAGCCGCTTCTTAAGTTCTCGGAGGATGACCTTGTTGGCGGCTTCGGCCTGGCCATTGGGCTGGGGGTGTTCCACCGAGGTTGGGAGATGCTTGATACCGAGCTCACGGAGGAAGTCCTCGAAGCCTTGTGCGATGAACTGCCTACCGTTGTCGGTAACGAGGGTGTGAGGGATTCTGAATCTGCAAACAATATTCCTCCAGGTGAATCTCTGTACATTTTTGGTGGTGATTTTGGCGAGTGGGCATGCCTCGATCCACTTGGTGAAGTAGTCGATCGCCACTAGGAGGAACTTGAGTTGACCTTTTGCGGGGGGAATGGCCCGAGGATGTCCATTCCCCACTAGGAAAAAGGCCATGACGACATCATTTGGTGAAGAGTTTCGGGTGGTTGCCGATGTGTGTTGCCGAACTGATGGCATTCTTTGCAACTTTGTACGTAGTCCTGGCAATCTGATTTCAATGTGGGATAGTAGTATCCTGCTCAGAGTACTCTGGTCGCCATTGAGCGTGTCCCGGAGTGCATGCCACATATGCCTTGGTGGATTTCCTCGATGACATAGGCTGCCTGAAATGTAGTTAAGCACTTGAGCAGAGGGGTGGAGATCCCACGCTTGAACAGTTCGTCGCCAACAATCACGAACTTGGCCGACCTCAACCTCATCTTCCGAGCTTCATCCTATCCTCGGGCAAAACACCTGCCTTCAAGTAGCTCCAGATGCCTGTCATCCATCCCTGGTCTTCGCTGTTGCTAGTGTTGACGACCTTGTTGTCTAGGCTGGGTGAATGCAAGGTCTCCTAGATGATGGTCCGATGTTGTCTAGGGAGTTTGGTGCTGGCGAGCTTTGATAGGAGGTCGGCTCTAGTGTTTTGTTCTCGCGGTACATGTTGCATAGTGAACTCGTTGAAGGGCGAGATCTGTTGTGATGCCATGTGGAAATATCGTTGTAGGAGAACGTCCTTGGCCTGGTATGTTCTACTGAGCTGCTCTACCATGAGTTTCGAGTCGCTGTTGTAACTCACTCTCTGAGCCCCGAGGTCATGAGCCAGCCTTAGCCCTGTGAGAAGCGCCTTATACTCTGCCTGGTTGTTGGTCACCTTGAAGCTGAACTTGAGGGATTGCTCCAAAGTGACTTG